ATTTCGGTTACTAAGACAACAAGGATATAATGTCTCGTGTGGTAAGTAAAAATCAGAACACCTTAACATGCACCTAATTTGTTACATGCCACAAACATACACAAAAAGACACGTGAAATTTTTTTGTACCTAAAAGTTAGCATGCACCTCCTACATCTTTGTAAGGGTACGCTTCATGTTTTCGGGCTGAAGCAGATGTTTTCAACAAATTCAAGGACCGCCAAGGAAAATTTGATGAATCTTTGATTAGCAATTTACAAGGCTTGTTAAGTTTGTATGAGGCTGCACAGTTCAGAGGATATGGTGAGGAAACTCTCGAGGAAGCATTGAAGTTTACTATCACCCAACTCGATTCCATAGTCCTCCATGAGAGTAATTCTGTGACTAAACAAGTTAGGGAAGCTTTGGAATTTCCAATTCATAAGACTATGACGAGGCTGGGGGCAAGAGGTTTTTTATCTTTGTATCAAGAAGATGAATCACATGACGATAAGCTGCTGGATTTTGCAAAATTAGATTTTAACTTATTGCAAAAGATGTATCAGAAGGAGCTATACGATCTTACAAGGTTAGCTTTGTCTTCTCGAGACATCAGTAGTGTGAATTATACCATTTTCTCTTAGTTTTGACTAATGTCTAGCAACAGTTCTTATCAATTTGATATTGAATATAAATGCTAGTAAAATTTTTGAGATCTTACTTCTTAAAATAAATTTTACGCAGGTGGTGGAAGGCGTTAGAGTTTGAAAATAAATTACCTTTTGCAAGAGATAGATTGGTGGAATGCTACTTTTGGGCATTGGGAGTATACTTTGAGCCCCAATATTCTCATGATAGGAAAATGCTAGCCAAACTAATCACCATGGTTTCTGTCATTGACGACATCTATGACATTTATGGGACTCTAGATGAACTCACTCTTCTCATGGATGCAATTGAAAGGTAAATTATTTCTGTGCATTTTTTATTATCTCATAGCGTACTTACTAATTTATTAAACAAAATAAAGATTCATCTAAACTATAATTTGATATGGGATATCTTCATGAGCAGATGGGATCTTAGTCTCGTTGATCAGCTACCACCATACATGAAATATTATTACAAAGTTCTTTTAGATGTTTATGTCGAGATTGAGGAAGTGTTGGGAAAGACAGGGAAATCATACCTTGTTCACTACGTGATAGAAGAGGTAATTAATTAATTACTAGATAGACTCCTCGTGTTTGCTATATATCAAATGTATATATTCCTAAATCAACGTTCCAAATTTCAGAAGAAAAGACTGGTGAGAACATATCTTCAAGAGGCGAAATGGGAGTACAGTGGCTATATTCCAAACCTGGAAGAATATATGAAAGTGGGAAAGCCATCTAGCACTTATTTATTGTTTATTTCAGTTTCTTTGACAGCCATTGGAGAGTTAGTGAGCAAGGAAGCCTTTGAGTGGGTAGCAAGTGATCCACTAATCCTACAAGGTTTAGAAGAAATCGGTAGACTAATGAACGACTTGGTAGGATTTGGGGTAAGAAGTTCATATTTTTGTCTTCCATGATGGTCCATACAAACATACCACAAATCCAGTTGTCGATTTAACATAATGGTCCTTACAAACATAATTCAAATCCAATAGTCGATTTAACATTGGCCTAATTTTTTGTTTTTGCTTCTATTGTTTGCAGTTTGAGCAGAAAATATCAGCAGTTGGATGTTACATGAATCAAAATAATGGTACCTCAAAAGAGGAGGCTTTTGCAGAAATTCAAAAACAAGTTACGAATGCATGGAAAGTCATAAACCAAGAATGTCTTCGTCCAACTGCTGTGCCAATGGCTTTCCTCAAGCGAGTTATTGTCAATCTTGCACGTGTCTCACATACTATGTACTGACACAGATGAATATACTCATTCAGCAGACAAATTAAAAGATAACATAACTTTGTTATTGATTCAACCTGTGGCAATACCATGATCAATGTGTAATGATTGTAATAATTGGAAAATACGGATGGCCATGGTTTGTTGCTGTAATAATGATTGCTCTATCCGAAATTAATATATGAAAATCGGCAAAATATTATTTGTTGCTGTAGTTTTTTCTTGTAAAGAAGTTGAATGGTTGAGGAATTTAATAATATAAATTTTTCCTTTTTCCTATAAATGAGATGATTCTTAAATTTCAGTGATCCTTTATGGACCTTTCTCAAAGTTNAGATGATTCTTAAATTTCAGTGATCCTTTATGGACCTTTCTCAAAGTTCAGTGATAATTTGGGTTATAATCCCATCTTTTGTTAGTATATTTTAAATTGTTTTACACGAGACTCGTTTATGCCTTTTTAAAACTTGGAAACTCTTGCACAATTATTTCCTTTTTTTAATATTCTTTCTTTCTTTTATATATGTTCATATAAAGATGATAATAAATTAGTCATTCCATAATGTTTTAATGGAGGAAATAGACGGCAAAAAACTTCTATGCAAATAAATGTTGATTTGAGAGTCCAAATGCCAAAATTGAAACGATAGGGACATTTTGTGTTAATTACCTATATTTGAAAAAATAAATTAACGGAATGAGACGAAAATGACAAACTTTGCAAGAAAATATTGATAGAAGGTTACCAATGTCAAGTTCGAAATGATAAGGACGATTTGTGCATGAATGCAAAGGATTTGAACATTTTGTCCTAATTACCCTAATTATTAGACCGAAGTTGCAAAGTTGAGAACATTTTCACATAACCAAATTTGTAAGAACCTTGTTGCGTGCACAGAGTACTCTGTGCACGCAGAATTCCACCAGACCACACACAACACATGTGGGGTCCGCATTTTTTGCAATATATTATTCATAGTGGAACCCATCTCCATGTGAGATTTTTAGTGAAAATCTGTGACCATTTTTCTGTACAAATGGTTTTAGCCAATTTGTAATCACATTATTTCCTTTGCGCACACATTTAATAAGTGAATTTGAGACGTTCAAATTAGAGTTCATTTTGACAAAACTTCTGTGTTTGCTTCTACTTTTTTCCTTTATGGACCTTTCTCAAAGTTAAGTGATAATTTGGGTTATAATCCCATCTTTTGTTAGTGCATTTTAAATTGTTTTACATGAGACTCGTTTATGCCTTTTTAAAACTTGGAAACTCTTGCACAATTATTTCCTTTTTTTAATATTCTTTCTTTCTTTTATATATGTTCATATAAAGATGATAATAAATTAGTCATTCCATAATGTTTTAATGGAGGAAATAGACGGCAAAAAACTTTTATGCAAATAAATGTTGATTTGAGAGTCCAAATGCCAAAATTGAAACGATAGGGACGTTTTGTGTTAATTTCCTATATTTGAAGAAATAAATTAACGGAATGAGACGAAAATGACAAACTTTGCAAGAAAATATTGATAGAAGGTTACCAATGTCAAGTTCGAAATGATAAGGACGATTTGTGCATGAATGCAAACGATTTGAACGTTTTGTCCTAATTACCCTAATTATTAGACCGAAGTTGCAAAGTTGAGGACATTTTCACATAACCAAATTTGTAAGAACCTTGCTGCGTGCACAGAGTACTGTGCACACAGAATTCCACCAGACCACACACAACACATGTGGGGTCCGCATTTTTTGCAATATATTATTCATAGTGGAACCCATCTCCATGTGAGATTTTTAGTGAAAATCTGTGACCATTTTTCTGTACAAATGGTTTCAGCCAATTTGTAATCACATTATTTCCTTTGCGCACACATTTAATAAGTGAATTTGAGACGTTCAAATTAGAGTTCATTTTGACAAAACTTCTGTATTTGCTTCTACTTTTTGTAGAAGAGTTCAATGAGAAATTTACCTTAGGTCAATTACTTATAAAAACCCTTCTAGTATAAAACATTTTTAGATATTTAAATAAGCATGTTTAAAATCAATTTCTTAATCTTAGAAATAGTTTTTGATTTTTCAAGAATCTTGTCTAATAGACTCTATGAAACATTCTATTTGGACAATCGGACATGATTGTTCTATTTGGACATAATCGAAGATTGTTCTCAAAAAATATTAACATTGAAGCGTAATCGATTCTTCATAATAAACGCAATATTAGCAGGAGCCAGAACACGAAGTTTTGGTTCCACGAATGAGGGAAAAAAATAAATAAAAATCAGGTTGCTCGTCACTAATTAAATGGTATGGCAACATTTAAATGAAAGATGGGCCCACTTCAAGCGGACCATAATTTGGTCCATCAGATTTTGTTTGACCCGCCATGTTTGAAAAAGGGAAAAATTCATAAATAAGAGCTTAAGTTTCAACCATTTCAAATTTAAGTACCTAACGTTTAAAATTTCAAATGTCAGATTTTTTCAAATTTTATTTATAAATAAATTAAGTAAACATATATTTTATTAATTAAATATATTAAGATCACAATTCCATATATTTTGGTCACAAATTATAGGTTGCAAATTATTTCACAATCACAAATTGAAAATTTTATACGTCACAATTTTTTTATCGGTCACAAATTTATAAAATTAATAAGTCATATATTATTCATTGGTCACAAATCACAAATTATTTTAACATTACAATTCAAAAATTTTTATAGGTCACAATTTATTCATCGATCACAAATCAAAAATTGAAACATCACAATTTATTTACAGGTCACAAGTCACAAATATTATAAGTCATAACTATTAGACAGTCACAAATTAACAATTTTTTAGGTCACGTTATTTTTTGGTCACAATTTATCTTTTTCATTTGTCGAATATTGTTTATTTGTCACCGATTAATCAATTTAATGGTCACAAACAACTAAATAATGTGTGACCACCACCAACACTTGTGACTACCACCTCACCATTGCCACCAGCAACATGACAACTAAAACCCCTTCGCCGGAACCACCACCCATCCTACAAACCAAAAAAAATCCCCAACCCTACCATCATCGCCGCTGACCACCTCCAACAAATTTTCAACTTCAAATCCACCAACACCACCACCTGGTCACCACAACCACCAACAAAACCATCGTCACCACCGCACCAAAAAGATCCAACACCGTCGCCCAAACATCAGATCGCCACCTAAAAATCAACAAAATCACCGCCCAAAAATCAGTAAAATCACCGCCCAACCACCAACAAAATCACCGCCACCAACACTATCCAATATTGTTGCCTAAACACCAAATCGCAAGCAACTAAATCTCTGCCCAAACAACACCGAAATCGCTATCACCACCACCACTACCTCACCACCACCAACAAACCATCGCCACCAAAAAGATCCAAGAGAATCACTGCCACAGCCGTCCAAAAAAACATAACAAATCAGATCCACAAACACCATCACCACAACGCTATCACCAGAACCAGATGGTCGCTGGTTGTGTACGATCGTACTCAGATCAGATCTACCAATTAATCGATCTCAACTACCACCATATATGACCGTTGCCGTCACCGTCGCCACAGGAATAGCCACCGCCAAAAAAAGTACCAAACCCACAACCACCAACAACTTAAACACCATGGCATCGCACCGCCAACATCACCACCACTCATCGGCAACGCGATTGACACCACTCACGGCTATTGACAGTGACGGGGTGCTCCGCGAGTTCGGTGGGAGAGGAAGTGCAACGACCAGGTGATGGAAGAGAGAGAGCGCGGCGGTGATAGTGGTGGGCTGGTAGAGAGAGCGAGAAGAGGGAGAGAGGAAGAAGTTGAAATTTGTTTTAGGGTTTGGGGTAGATTAGTTTAAATTTTAAATAATAATAATAATATTTAAAATTTTAATTATCATCTGATTTTTGAAAAAAAAAACTTTTAAATCTGAATTTTGAAATTGGAAGTTGAAAATTCTGATATGCTGTAATTTCCACTTTGAAAAATAAAAGTTGTTAGGCCAATTAGCGTTCTAAAAAAATTATAAAATTGACAAAAATAGCATTAAAAATGAATACGAGAAGAAAATTATGAAGTGGCAGAAAGGAGGATATAAAAAAGGATAGTGTTAGCAAAATACAAAAAAAAATAAAAAACATAAATAGGAGAACTGGCGTAATCTTTAGTTGGGTGCGGCGTATAATATCTAAGATTATCAATTACATGTCAAATTTTACTTGTCATGTCATTTTATCAAAGGGAAAAAGGTACATAAAAATACGTTAAAACCCAACTTCGCTTTATTAAAGATAAAAGTTCTACATAACTTATCCAACTCTTCACGATAATCCTAGTATACATTAATTTTATGTAAATTAATTGTAATTTGTTTATTTTACACTAATGTAAGTTATATTACTTTATATTTGTATGATATTAAAATTTCTTATATATAATATTAAAAATATTGTTGACACACATAACAAATTCAGGTTGCTCAATTATTCTAAAATATTTCTATCTTAACACACTTTCTTTTCAAATCTTATCTAAATCAAATGTAACATTAAAGATAATAATAAAAAAAGAAAAGAATGGATAATCGAAACGAGAACACAGAGTTTTAGATATTTGATCTCTCTTTGGTCTTTGTTTCTCTTAGGTATGACCAAACAGCACAACTTTGTCGGCACGCACAATTGCATACATTTATTGAGCTTGGTGAATTGGGAGTTGATATACAGTACCGGTTGAACCACATTTTTCAAAATTTATTTTTAATTATACATTCTACTAATAAATAATTTTACATGTAAATCAAAACTTTTTTCCCTCCCTTTTAACCTCACATTCTAAAAAAAAAAAATCATTATTACAAAATCTATTCTCCTAAAAATTGGGTTAAGAGAAACCCATATTCTATTATTCAGTGTTGTCACTTCAAAATAAGTATAATTTTTAAAGGGTTTAAAAAACGATGTTTACTC